TTTCTAGAGGCGAACCCGAGCGAAGCGAGGGTGAGCCGCTAGTTTTAAATAAAACTATCTTTTCGGATTATTTCGCGGATTTATTTTGATTTTTGGTTCCCGACGTTTCGAATGTTTTACAGCAATCATGGTCACGGGAGAGACATTGCCGATTGCTTGCATTGACATTGGGGATTGCTGTAAAGCATTCGAAACGTCGGGAACTAAAAATCAAAATAAATCCGCCAAATAATCCGAAAAGATAGTTTTATTCAAAATGTCAAATATTCGCGTAAATCTAAGAAAGTATTATGGCAATTGGCACCTAACAAGATATCGAACATCATAAAATTTGATTGAAATTGACATCATGATTTTACCTATGAACACGAAACAAAAAGAAAGACAAACGGAGTTACTATCGCATTTATAATTTTAATATGGAGCTAAAGACCTACAAGGCACCTAACGTGTCAATCAACGGCGTTCAAAGCTAATAAGGCATATCCTAACACTAGCATTGCCCGCGGCTCCGCCCGCGTTCAGGTGACCAAAAACCAAATTCTTAGGTCTTACATATTAGTACACTCTTACAATGCAGTTTTTGTGTTTTTTTTTTCTCAGATATTAGATATTTTCCCGCGCTAAAAAGTATCCTATATGTTGACCCGGATAACCAGCTATGACCATACCAAATTTCATCAAAATCCCTTCAGTGGTTTTTCCGTGATGCGATAACAGACAGACAGACAGACAAAATTTCTAAAAACTATAGATTCGGACTCTGTATCGATAATAATGTCTATTTCAATAAGATTTTCCAAAAAATATATTTAATGTACAGATTCGGTTTAGTTACAATTTTATTATATGTATAGATTACACAATACCACACATGTCTAAGTAAATCAAACATTAAATTAGCATTAAGGAGGAGCTCAGAAAGTGAAAGGCTATAAATCGCGGTCTCTTTGCTGTATTTGTTAATAATGTTCCAATTATGGTCGATAAAGTTGATACCTAACGTGATATAAAATTTAATTTTCCTTTACACGCTTCGCACACTATAGACTTTTTACTGGCGATAGTTAAATCGGTTTTATATTGAATTGTTTTAATATATGTACTTAATATTATAATTTAATTTCATTAATTTAAAATCTAATTACACTATTAGCCAATCGAAAATCTATAGTGTGCAGAATACTACTCTTAATAATAGTGTAAGAAGACCTCAGTATTATTATTTGTAGGATTTTTAGAATGTCTTCTTCATGATGATGAATTATCATCATAATTATCTCCAACACGACCATTAAAAGCCCGCCTTTATCCACATGTGTTTTTAATGTTGTTATATATATATTATATATATGTATATATATATATATACATATATATATATATATATATATGTATATATATATATATATATATATATATATATATATATATATATATATATATATAACAACATTAAAATGCTCACGTACTAAAATTAAATCCATAATAATATTCCTTAATACTTAAAATACAAAAGTATGTTTGTTATTCCTTCTTTAACGTAGAAACGGTCAGAAAGTCTATATTTTTATGACACGTTTGGCTCAGTTTGTAATGACCCTACTTGCTGCGCCAGCGGTTGCGGGTTCGAGGCCCGCTGGGGAGCATTCATTTGTGTGATGAGCACGAATTTATTATATTTATAATATGTATGTATTTAAAGTTATATATGTATAATGTATCAACTATCTCGTATCCATAACACAGGCCTTACACAGCTTACCATGGAACTAGATGGTGTTGTGTGTTAATGTCCTGACATATTTATTTATTTTTATAATAGCAAATAAACATTAAAAGTCACGAGGTGTCATTAGAGTCTGAGCAAAGCCAGGATGTTAGTTTCAGATAAATTAAAAACTAATACGCTCTAAGATTTTATTACAAACATTTAAAACTAGCCTCATAAAATTTACAGGATACATAAACAAAAATTGATAGCTACCCACAAAGAGCAATATAACGTAATTCGATATTTATATCGTAAATAGTACATTAAAAAAGCAAATATCTAAAATAAATACTGTTATTCATAACCCTAGGAACATATTCGAGTATCCATTCAAGGTGCTAGCCGGCAGGTGTTTGATATCTTACACCAAAGTAGAAAATAAACTTGACTTTTAATACCGACAACTTCTGTGTACATACAGAAATACGACGCGACAATACTGAGGAAAACGAGTACCTGTTTTACTCTTAAGATATTTGTTGTTAACGTTTTGAAATGCGAGAAACGTATTTATAGTAGCAAAGCAGTAGAAAAAACCCGTTGATGGAACAACCTTAGACAAGTTCAATTTCAACAAACGACTTTAGTTTTAAGTTTTCAGCCATTATTCCCGTAGTTGCCGTTATGTCAACATTATGTTTAATGTGTACTAGTGAGTCACCCTCGCTCCGCTCGGGTTCATCCCTAGTTACGTTTTAACGTTTAGCTCAGAGATGAGACATTTTTCCGCAGTAAAAAGTGTCCTATATGTTGACCCGGATAACTAGCTATCATCATATCAAATTTCATCAAAATTTGTCCAGTGGTCGTCTTGTGAAGCGGTCACAGACAAACAAAAATTCTTAAAACTATAGATTCGGCCTCTGTATCGATAATAGTGACTATTTCAATTAGTTTTTAAAAAAAATATTTAATGTACAGATTCGGCTCAGTTAGAATTTTATTATATGTTTATATAAAAGTACTGATATAATCACAATGTTGGAAAACAATCGCTAAAGAATCAAAAATATTGTCATAACTAAAGAAGCTTTAAGCTTCGTAAACCACTGGTGCAAAGAATGCATATTGTTCATAAAAGCTATAATTTAAAATTCGTGTACAAGATCAGAGATAAAAGCATAATTCAATTTTGGCAATAATCTTATTTTGCTTTTAAAGCTAACGCTTGTCTTGCTAAAGTTTTACGGATACTATTAAGTGTGTTACAATAAGTTTTTTTTATTGATACATAGATAGGATAGAAGATAAAGTAGGATAAAAAGTAGCGCATATAGCAGATGTATCCATGTATATGGACAGTATCCAACATAAAAAAAAATCGTAAAATCCTACGTCAAACCATTGCTGCGTGAAAAAACAACCAAATATTTTTTTTTAACTAAAATGAAAGATTAGTAATCAAAGATTTTCTTGAATCTTTCATATTACTTGAGATATAACTTATTCATTAAAAACCATAAAAAACGATTTATAATTGAAAAAATATCGAATTACATAAACAAAAAGTTTTAAAAATACAGATCGCACTTATATAAGAATTTCAATAAAACATACAATTATGTTTCACTTTCGAAGCTCCAACACGAGGGAAAACGTATATACATATATAGATATGACAAAGGGTCAGCATTAAGGGTTAGGTTTTTATGAGGGCAGTAATATTATAACCTATATCAAGCGGCACCTTTTTCTATTATTCCCTCCACTGACAAGGACTGAATTATTTTTCCTCTGTTTCATAGCCACTCAACCAAATAATAATGACATTACGGTTTGGATATATCTTATGTATATTTTGAAATATCCATAAATATGGGATAGTGTATTTTCTCTTATAGATAAATAAATAAATATGTTGGGACATTAGCACACAGCACCATCTAGTTCCATGTTAAGCTACGAGGGTTGTTATGGATACCAGATAGTTGATACACTACACATATATATCTTTAAATACATACATATTATAAGCATAAACACCCATGACTGATAATAAACATTCATGCTCAGCACACAAATGAATGCCCCGAGCAGGACTCAAATTAGCGACCGCTGGCACAGAAAGTAGGGTCACTACAAACTGAGCCAAACGTCGTGAAAGATCTTTTTGATAATATTCTAAAATTCGTCAAACTTATTTCATAAACGAAAACGACCTTAAAAATAGAATTCCAAAGGTTAAGAAAATTTAATTCATTTTAAAATAACTTTCGCAATAATGTTAGGGTTTTATGCTTTCTTGTTTTGTTAATGAAAGATATTTAACTTTTTAATTACAACCTCTCAAATAAAACCCTTAGTTAAATATAATGTTATAGCAAGAGTTTGTTACTTAAAAAAATATTTTTTAATTGTAAAATTTCAGAACTTTCATCCTCACTAGGATGAAAGTTCTGAAAGGATATTTAGGTTTTATAAAATACATGCGAAAGTTTGTTGATTAATCCTTCTTTCACAAAACAGCAGCAGAACAATGAATCGACATGACTTCTTTGACACACGTTTGGCTCAGTTTGTAGTGACCCTACTCGCTGTGCCAACGGTCGCGGGTTCGAGTCCTACTGATGTTCATTCATTCGTGTGATGAGTGCAAATGTTTGTACTCCAGTCATAGGTGTTGATATTTATAATAATATAGATGAATTTAAATTTATATAATATGTGTAGTGTATCAACTATCTTGTATCCATAATACAAGCCTCGTAGCTTACCAAGGAACTAGATGGTGTTGTGTGTTAATGTCCCAATATATTTATTCTTGCAAAATCGAAATTATTAATAGACTAAAGAAATAAGCTTCTCTCTATCCAGGTGATTGGAGATTACAAAAATTTATGTAAAGATGCCTGAGCGATAAGAAATCTGATCACTTGTAAATATTATTACGTATTTATTCCTACAATTTTATGTTTACCTTTCTTCAAGTTTCTTCTGGGGCAGAGGAGATATGAGGCCGAGCAGTGGCGAGACTGGCAAGGCAGCCAATAGTAATAGTAATGATTGATTTTATTATTATATTGAAGAGTAAAATATACTCTCTATAGAGATAGGGTCAAGTGGAGCTCGTAAAAGGTCACTGTTGGGCACTAGCCTCCCTTTAATACGAGAGAGATCAGTCCACAGCCCACCACGCTGGCCAAGTCTGGGTTGGCGGACTTCACACCGTAAACTGATTACTAGTATATTCTTCTCTTTCTATTTATATATACATATTTATGTTTACCTTTCTCCCAGTTTGTTGATGAGGCAGGGGAGGTATGAGCCTGAGCGGTGGCGGGGCAGGTGGCAAGGCGGCCAGTAGTGGTGGCACTAATGGCACTACACCCCCCATGGGTAGTGCCACTGCAAACTTCTGCACACCCATCCATGGCACAAACCACCCGCCACCCGCCTGCATCGCCCCACCGTACCACGCCAGCTCGATTAACTAGCATACACTATCGGCACCGTGACATTTGGATGCACACTAACACTACCTGTGGACAAAAAACATATGATTTATTTAATTGTTTCAAAGCTTCAATTCCGGGATAAAACCATCCTATGTCCTGGCCAGAGTCTCAAACTATCTTCTTACCAAATTTCATCTAAATCGGTTTAGTAGCGTCGGAGCCTATTCGATACAAGCAAACAAACAAACAAAACTTACCTCTTTATAATATTAGTATAGATTATAAATACAAAAGGAGCCAAAAAAGAACAATTTTATTATACTGGTATAATAATATTAAGTACTACTTAATAATTTATGTTATGAATAGATTAATTCCGGCAACGTTTGCGGCAGAACAAAATCTTCTGTGTTTTTTTTCGCTTACGAAATACCCTCATTTATTTTGAAACATGTCAGCGAGATGACATCAAGGGCAGCCCGTCTACATACTGAGCCGCCCGATTTCCACGCCAATTCTCTATCGACAAGACATGTGTCATTGAACGTGTAACTATTGATACAAATAGATAGAACTAAAAAATATATGCTTTACGAGCTTTTATTTTACTTGCTTCGTTGTTTCGCCTTTATAATTCGCAATTCGTTTTTCCAACACTAATTTTAATCTATTGAGCTACATGCGTTGCTTTCTTCAATAGAAATCTATATTTGAAATATATTGAAATAGACGTTGAAATACATAACTTTAAATACATATATATTATAAATATACCCATGATTGGAGTACAAATATTGATGGTCATTCCACAAATGAATGCCCCTAGCGGGACTCGAACCCGCGACCGCTGACACAGCAACTAGTGTCACTACAAACTGAACCAAGCGTGTCGTCAAATAAAGTACTTAACATTTTACACATAATTTTGCTAGTAATATTACTATACTAGCATTGCCCGCGGCTCCGCCCGCGTTCAGATGACCAAAAACTAAATTCTTAGGTGTTACATATTAGTATACTCTTACATTGCAGTTTTTGTATTTTTCCTCAGAAATAAGATATTTTCCCGCGGTAAAAAGTATCCTAGGATCGCGCGCTACATCGCCCGGTTTATATAGCTTGAGCAGGCGGTCGAGCGATGCGGGGCAGAGGGGATGGACTCGCCGTAGGCATCTCAATGCTCGCCAAGCATTAAAAATGTTTCGCTACTAATTACTTCTAACAACGATATCTCAAAAACTATTCATCTGATTGATTTAGTGTAAAGAGCAATTTTAATCTGCATTAAATGACTAAGCTAACTAAAATATTCATTTGGATAAGGATTAATACCGAACTAAAGAAAATAACTTTGAAAATAACGTAATGTTTTTAATTAAAAATGTTAACATAAAAGTGGTTATTGTAAGTCAACCGTAAGAGATAGAGATATGCTATCGCGGACTTTTTTGTAGCATTTTTATAGATTTTGAATTCTCTAGTACATTACTTAACTGTATCTTTGCTAGTTTACGCGGCGTTCGCGTGGAAAGTTCCCATTTGGCGAGATTTTTTGCGACCTCTTCAACATTTGTCGCCGTATTTCAGCTAATTTACATAAAAGCATAATAAATTATATACCTAAACCTTCCTCAAGAATTACTCTTTCTATTGTTGAAAACCGTATAAAAATCCGTTCAGTAGTTTTCGAGTTTATCGCGTACAGACAGACAGGAGGACAGACAGGAGGACAGAAAGACGCGGCCGGGGGACTTATTTTTATAATAAGTATAGATTCGTTTGTTAATCTTAAAAGTTTAATAAAGCATTTAAAATAAATGCGGGAAATAAATCAAGTGATTCGTTAATAGAATTAATGTATTTGTTGAGAGATACTTCCGGTTTGTAACATGTGGATCATTATCTTAGATCAAAGGAATACCTCGCGGAATCCGCATTTATTGGAGCGAAGGAAAGAAGGAAGCAGACGCTGAATGAAAATTACCCGTTATTTGCTTCTAGCTGTCGCATCTCGTGAATGATGGGACCGTGAAAATTCTGTTCATATAGCCACGTATACTTATGTTTACAGAGCTAAAATTTATATGAGTGTTTATAAAGATAATATAAGGGAAAGCAAGAATATTTTTAAAACAATCGAAGAACTGTTAATAAATGCGAATGTTTGTATGTATGTACGAGTATGTATGTTTTTTTGTTACTTCTTAACGCTGTAATTGCTGGACGGGTTTGGATAAAATATAGTTCACAGATACACTATGACCTAAAATAATTATTATAATTGGCATAATAATACCTACCTACTTGCTGTGCCAACGGTCGCGGGTTCGAGTCCCGCTGGAGGCATTCATTTGTGTGATATCACGAATGTTCGTACCGCAGTCTTGGGTGTTTATATGTATAATATGTACCTATATATTTAAAGTTATATATGTGTAGTGTATCAAGTACCTATTTTATATTATATATATATATATTTATTTATTGTTAGGCTGCTATTAGTACAAAAATTAGTATTGAAAATATTTTCATAATTTTGAAACAAGTGTTTGGTCAATAAATATGTACGAAGTGAAGTTTAATATCAATAGTACCGGGACACGTAAGTAAATTGGAAACCATGTAAGCTTTTCATAGGCGTATTACATGTTGCTCTTATGTTTTTATCCTGATAGCAATTAATACTCTCGCCTATATTTTTAATTCATCTTGTTTGGAGTAATTTGAACAAAAGGTTTATTGGGACGTTTGCATTTTACATTGTCATTGACACAACTTTTCTATCCGAAACTCTCAGACAATGGAACCCCTGTTCCTTTCTTATCAACAATCACTTCTTTTCGCAAAACACATGCACGATAATAATGCTTGCTATTGTCGGAGTGTCGTTGTCGCACCGAAATTCTAAAACATTAATTCCAGAGTCATATCTCTGTATATTTTATTATTCTACTCACGTGTTTGATAATTATGTTAATATACTTCGAAAGCGCAAAATTTAAATTACGCTAATGGTGGAAAATACAATATAATACAAAAAAAAAAACTTGTGTGTGTACTTATGTACGCACGTAAGAATTATAATTTTATATCATTACATTAAATACTTCTTTGGCGTTACAGAACAAAAATGGCTAAAGATTTTATGTCGTATGTCACAATTCTATGTTTGTAAAAAGAACGCAGTTAACTTCATCATGTCGCTTTTTGGCTGTCGGTGTGTGCACGCATCGTAAAAGTTTTACTCTCATATTTTTTTCCAAAGGTGCGAAAAGAAGTATAAATTCAAAAATATATTACAATCTGTGTACCCTCGCTTTGCTCTGGTGCGTGAGTACGCATCTTTTTGCATTTTTTTACGAATTAGCCTATGTCTAGGTCATAGCCTCTGTGTCTTAAATTTCGTCAAAATCCATCCAGCTATAAGGACATGAAGGAAACAAACGTATACACATACACACTTTCGCATTTCTAATAATAGTGAGTAGATACTCTTGTAATTTCTTTGATTTAGTAATTTGACGCCCATGTACATTGTTGATTTAAGTTACTGCAATAGTATCACTAAAGAGTAATAGTAAAAAGTCTCAACTAACATATAAAGACGCGTTTACTAAATTGTTGGATCAAGAACCTGATGTAGAAGATAAAACTTACGAGTATGTAGTCACTTGAAATTAAGCGATTTGTTAGAGTAGATGTTCGCCATTGGCTATATGTACTGGTAGATACATGATATTATGTTTATTTAGTCTATCTATACATATGATAAAATTGTAACTAAGCCGAATCTGTACATTAAATATTTTTTTGAAAATCATATTGAAACAGCCATATCGATACAGAGGCCGAATCTATAGTTTTTAGAATTCTTGTCTGTCTGTCTGTCTGTCTAAATGTCTGGGAACGCATCTCGAGAAAACCACTACACATATTTTGATGAAATTTGGTATGATAATAGCTGATTATCCGACTGGAATATATAGGATATTTTTTACTGCAGGAAAATATCTCATCCTTGAGAAATCTATACTAAACGTTAAAAGTACCTACGCTCCGCACGGGTTCGTCCCTAGTCTATTATATTTTAGAATTAATGTTTTTTTAAAAACTTAGAAAAAACCAGGTCCTAATTGTAATTCTTTGAAGTTTTCATTAAACATTTTTTTGAAGGAGATGAATATTAAATTGAATTCTATTTGTCTAGGAAAATATTTTTAAAATGGGAATTTAGAATATTTTGAGCTTCGTCCAAGATTTAACATAGCAAATTACGCTGTCTGATGGGAGGTCACGCTCACACGACATTAAAGATGGTTCACAGGGTGTTCTATATAAATTTTAATAAGAAGGAAGTGTTTTTATTATAGAAAATAATTTTGTATACTAATTATAAAGAATTATAAAATTATATTTAGATATATAAATATATAAGAGATATAGATGAACTATTCTCGTATAGTTACAAGATAACGATAATTACTTTTTAACGAGAAACGGTAACTTGTCATATTAAAAGCATACAAATCAGTTTACAATGGCACATATAATTATATTGTGGCAACATACATACATTTAAAATTCTTCTTTCTTGAAGTCGGTCAAAAAAATTATATCAAACTTAACCAAACAACACCACTGTACCCGTTCTTACCATACAGTAAACATTGGTTCGATACCACAGAGAAGAATGCTAGGTATTGTGATATATAATCATTATAGTGGCAGTAATGAGATGAGAAAAGTCATTATCATATGTTTAAGAAGATGAGTACAAGATGGTATAAAAAGCTATCTCCAGCATCTTAGATAGACATATTTTCTAGATTTAACATTTTATACGTTGCGTAGATACCTCCAAGTAAAGTAAAGGTGTCAAGCCGCTTCCGTAACAGGAAAAACGCAAATCAGCGACAATTTATTTAAATGTGCATACGGTTAGTTACATATTCCCTGTTCATTCGAGAATATTTATTGCGGGTTAAAAATGAGATAATGATAACAA